CGTCTAATGGCACAGATAGCTTGAACTTAAGCTCCCTGCTTTTAACTGCTCGAGTGCTCGGATGCCTGTTTTTTTTCCTTTTGTTTTTGATCGGCGAGCATTGTTTGCCAACTGATTCTCCTCCTCCCGGCTGAGATCAACTCGCCTTGATGTGGAAAATGGACTTAAATCAAATAATAACAGACCGCGTGCTGTCTCGGCACAACTGAAGCAACTTCACGTTGCCCACGTAAATAAAACACATCCGTTTTGGAGCTTGACTTCTGCCACTCGCCGATATGGCCTGGCACGGCGCCTCCCTCTCTGCCCACACGCGCTGCCCTCGTCCCGCCTCAGCTCTCAACAAAGCCGAGAAATAATTATGTCAAAATATTTGCAAAAGAAATTCTTAATCTTTCTCATATCTGATAGATATGGGTTTAGGGAGGGAGAAGGAAAACACAATGGTATTTGAGTGTGTGTGTGTGTGTTCAAGGACGCACATACAGACATTGTAAGTCAAGAAGCAACACAGTACTAGATTTGTTTCTGTCAGTCAGTGCGGCAGAGAGCAGATACACATAACACATGCTGGGTTACACACAAAGACGCTTCAATCTCAGACATCGCAGATGAAACGAGTGTTGGGCACACAAACAAGAGGTCATAAAGATTCATTTGCATGCACACACACACACACACACACACACTCTCTTTCTAATGCAAGCACAGTCTGGATGCTGTGCTATTCCTCTACTGTGAAATAATAAGCTCCACATTTCAGTGATTCGGATTTAGAGAAGTGGTTTGTAGGCAGAATTTTAAAGAGATAAAGCTGGAGAGCCTAGATTTAGTGGCAGCCGCATCTTTAAAAACAACACAGCAGCCTAAATTTATTCATGCAATAGAATTTTATTTACACTTCACCTCAGAATCACTGATGTAGTCTGCTGTACAGACATGCAAAGTACAAGTAGAAAAAAATTAAGAAATGGCTGTGTGATGTGAGCCTTGATGTGATTTGTGGGGTCTAGCTGATCCAGCATCACTCTTTCAGCTCCAGTGCACGTTAGCCTTGTTTATATGCATAGAAAGGGTGACAAGCAGAAAGAAATGCAGAAAATCCCATTCTGTCACTCTATATTGTGATTCTTTCTCCAGGCTTGAGAGACAAGATCCCAACACGCTGCCACCGGCTCGCTTAATCATAACCAGCAATTTTCTCTGCAAATAACCAACGTACCAGCTTCAGGCGGGACGTTTGACTTTCCTCAGAAATGGCACATCAAGGTTAGCGGAAAGGGTATGATAAATGTAGTGACAAATGCATTACTTTTAGCGTTCTTAAATAAGCAGGTCATGCAGTATAAGAAAACAAACAGAAGCGTTCCTCAGAGAGGGCTCATGGGGAAGCGAAAACGCTACCTTGTCAAAGTTATCTGAATGCTTGAGAAATAATCGTGATGGGCATATTTTCCAAAATACGGAACGGGAATGATGTGCGTGAACAAACTATCAATTAAAATCTTCTGCCACGTGTCATTGGCACTGAACTATTACTTTTTATGAATTTAAGCGATGAAAAGAGAGCTGTTTTTATTTTATCCTTTTTTAAAAACAAAACACAAACCAACATGGGTTTCCTACCTTTTTTTTCAATGAGATTATATATGTGACCTGACCAGTTTACCTGAATCTGTTTCCCAGTCTCGGTTTTCATCCTACTGAAACTACATAACCCACTAAAAAATGTGACTTCAGTGATTTGATCTGGGAAAGCACCAATACAAACTCAGAGACTCCAGTTGCTTGTATGTGTTATGGGAAGTTGCGTCGCAATGAACGTGTTTAGGTTTCTTCACATTCAGCATGAGTTTTCAATTCAATTTCATTTTATTTATATAGCACCAAATCAAAACAGCAGTCACCTCAAGTCACTTTGTCAGGTAAAGCTCCTACAATAACTGAGAGAAAAGCCCAACAATCAAAGGACCCCCATGGGCAAGCACTTGGTGACAGTGGGAAGGAAAAACTCCACTTTAAAAGGAAGAAAGCTCCAGCAGAACCAGGTTTTGCACTGGCCCATTTCAAAGATTTTACCATTTTCACCATCTCAGTTTAAACAAACCAGGTGTGAAGAGAAGTGGCAGGTCTGACTATAAACCACTTGCTTATTGGCTAATTGTTTGAGATTAACAAGTCATTAGCAGTAAAAATAATACAGATACGGTCCTTTTTGAAACATAGCATGACTGAAATTTATACAATAGATACTTTTTTTTTTAGTATGACCAGAAATGAGTGACTGAGCCCACACTGTAAACTAAAAGTGTTTACAAAGGTCAAGTCAGAAAGTTGTTATTCCCGGAGGCCGTGTGTCGAAATGAAGGATAGTGTTCAGGCATCCACGGAAAAAGGATTTACCAGGGTGAGTGGGGGAAGGTGTTAGCAGTAAAGTAGCTTTGAAATCTAAAGATAAGAATAAAAACATTTAGCCAACCCACAAAGCTTTGGAGGTTATTGAAGTTTAGCTAGTTTGCTAGATATTTTAGGTGAGAGATAAAGTCTTCTCAATAAAAGTGCATGTTCAGTGTTGTTCAGTGAGGTACACACTCTGAGTCCCCATGGGGCGACAAAAGAGATTAAACAAAAACACAAAACGTGGTCCTTTTCTAAAGCATTAAAATACTGCTGAGAGGCTCACAGCATCCTGGATACTCAGTGAAGCATGCCTTAGCTTGAAGGCCGGCTATGAATAAATAGCACTGATACAGTTACAAGTGTACAACTGAATAGTTTGCTAAGGCTCATCTCTATTCAAAGAACAAGGGCACACAGAAACGACAAGAGCCTTAGAAACAGCCATGTTGTCTTTACATTATCACTTAGCAAGTGAATTCAATCCAGCTGCTTTTTGTTTTCTACATAAAAACACTGCAGCAGTGGCATTGAAAAATGTACACAGAAGACGGCTATTAGTGCGTTTTTCTTTTTTTGGGAAGGAAAAAAGGTCATATGCATAGCAGATGAATCCCATTTAGGATGTCAGCATCGTGTCCTGCATCCTTTGCAGTGTTATTTACCTTCTCATTATTATAAGGAGTAACTTAACACTCACAGGAATTCACATTTTTACTCTAGTGGTTGAACTTCCCACCTTTATACAGCAATTTAGCTACAAGTGTTTTTCAAACACGATGATTCAGCGTTGCCAAAGAGACCACTTCTTACTCTTGTCAGTGATGTTGGGTGTTATAACACCTTGCAGGCTACTCTGCGGAAATTTAGGTCAATTTTAAAGGATAAAGACGATAGTACTCTACGTCAGCGTGACTGCGCTTAACTTTGCACTAAAAGTGTTTTGCAATTTTACTTGTTTTGAATTCAATCTGTTATTGCATAAGAACTGTTTACTTGTTTGTAGTGCACACGTGTTGTTTGAAACAACTCATGGCCAGGCCACATTTAAAAGAGATTTCTAATCCTTTAATTAAACTTTTACTTAAACGAGACTGAATAAACTTTGTTACCAGAAAGAAGAGATATCCTGTCTATATTTAACTAAGTTTAATATATTAAGATATGTGCAGTGGTTTTTTTTTTTCAAAGGCTGATGACTTTCTTTAGATTTTTAGATTTGGTGTTTACAGTTTTCCCCATTTTGATAAATGGACTGCTATTTTTATAGCACCTCGGTATTCGGTTGAGCTCTCACAGCATTTTCTACTGAAAGTGTCATTCACCCATTCACATATCACTTTTATCTAACATCTAACATTTACACACACACACTCATGTGGATGAACTGGGGTTCAGCATCTTGCCCGAGGATACTTCTGCACAGAGACTGGAGAAGTCAGGGCCCAATCGATCGGTAGATGACCCAGTCTACCATGCTCTACCACCTGAGCCACAGCTGTTCAGGTGGTATTAAGCCGCTAAGAAAGACATAATGGCTCAGAAAGGATCTTTAAAACCTTTCTGAAATCCTGTGAAAAGCTTTGATATTGTATTTCCACCAGTCATTCTAAGACTTTCTCTCAGCTGACACAGATCACAGTAGTCCGTTATCTTTAGAGCATATTAAATTACTTTTAATTAACCTTTTTGCCATGATTGTTGCTTTATTAGATAAAAGAAAATTCCACATCTAGTTGTCAAGCAGCCCAAAGCCATATGTTTCTGAGCACCACTTCCTTTTTCTTTCACTCTACTTAAAACAGTGGACCCAGTTTTTTAGCTGAATCTTGTCTTTACTCGTCAACACATTTCATGCTATGAGAAACACAGGGCCTTTAGATGTTTTTCAGGCCAAGGACAGAAAACATTACATTTGGCCAGTACCCAGAGCATCCTTTCTGAAATTAGCAATTAAAATGAAAGTAAATTTGAACTTCATCCACTCTGTGGAATTGTCTCAACGTTCCTACGGGTCCCAGTTCTCCCTGTGACACCCATGTATTATGTATAAGCATATGCACGATGAATAAGTCAAGAGATAAATGACGAAAATTACATTTCTTTTCCGCCCCCCCATTTCTGTTTTTGGCATGACCCGGTTGTTAGTGCATCCTTTATCACGGCAGAGGAGCAAGTAAACTGCAGACCAGTAGACCAGCAGAAAGTGAGATGGAAAAAGTGAGAGAAGAGCAGAGAGAGTAAGAGAGGAGGGAGGACAGTTGAATCCATCTCTCAGTACTATCCCTCCCTCTGGGCATTTCCCGGCTGGCACACAATATGTGGAGGCTGCAGTATTTTAAATCTCTACCATACTAATACCAATGAACCACGAGCACATTGTCTTTTATTTATTATTTGTGTGTGCGTGTGTGTGTGTGCGTGTGTGTGCGTGCGTGCGTGTGTGCAAGCATGTGTGCCGGAAACCCTAGAGCTACAGAGGCTAAAGACAAGCGTGCACCGACTCATTTGCGTATATGTGTGGGTGTATGTTTGCTAATGTTTGTTCCTCTCTTTCTGCGCGCTCGCCTATGTGTTTGTGTGTGACTCACCGCTCTCCTCACCAGATGCTTCACAGCCATCTTCATCATCACAGTCGTCTCCGCTGCCTCCCTCCGTGTGGGCGCTCCCTCCCTCCTCTTCCTCAACCCTTCCTCTCACTTTGCTCGCCCAGCCCAGCTCCACCAATAGCTCCTAAATGAAAGCGCGCACACACATATGTCCATAGATATTACACATACATTTGCAAGACACTTGGATTGAGTCAAATTTTGTTCTGTATTGTGAGAAGATTTTTTTCTGATTTGACATAAGAAGACATTAAATATATGTATATATGGTACCTTGGTGAAAAATAAAATGTCAGTGAAATATATCTTTTTTCCTTTGCCTTATTTCTGTCCTTAGCTGGAACTGATTAGGTAGCATGGTGGTCCTGGCTTTGAGACCTTTACTTGATTTGGTTCCCTGACCGACTGTTCCAAAGCCAGCAGTGTTGTAGTGTTGCCACTACAATATGCAGCTGCTAAGATGGCTAAAGCTGCTGGCCAACCAACTAGACATTGTGGTGGTTGACAAGGAACAGAAAACCACAGTTA